TTTCAATAAACAAACCGTATTTCTTAATTATTCTTTACCATCATTATTCATATTTGCATTATCGTTTTGAGTTAAATTAACGATACTTTCATTATAATAAAAATTATCCACATTAGTATACACAAAATTACTTCTTTTATTTCGAGTTTCTGGGTCATTTACCCACTCGTAATTGAATATGACATCCTCTTCAGAACCGTCTTGAGAGATAGAAATGCTGCAACACTTAAATGATCGTTTAATAAGGGTGGTATCAACTTGATTTCACGCTCTTTTTATCCACTCAGCTACTATATTATAGACAGGATGCTAAATATGACCAGTAGGTGTTAATTTCTTAACTTCTTCTCCCATCCAATCGAGATAATATTTGCGATACTTAATTTTATTGTATAATTATTGTGTAATTATTGTGTAATTATGATGTAATTATTGTATAATTGTGTAATAAAAATCAAAAATTTGATTTAATACGAATACAATACTATCTTACCTTTTCTTTAAAAAATTTGTTGATATATACATCTAATAGCTGCAATTTTTTAGTTAGTCCGGCTGGAATTACTGCAATATTGGTGTTTTTTTCTTTAAATCTGGTTTTAACCGGATCTGTTGTATGATCATGAAATGAGGATTAACGGACAAAGGAGCACGACGGTTCCAAATATTTTCTATCCAAAAAATCATCTTATTAGAATTCATGTAGCCTTCTGGATTAGCTCTTACAACAATACCTTGAGGAAATGTTTGTCGAAGTACATTTACTAATTTAAAAATTACCATAGGAACCAATTTGGTTCCATCAGCCAAACAACCTAAAACAACTGTGAAATTGGACTTTTCATATCCAGTTGTACAGATTGAAACAGTATGGGCACCCATTTCTTCAACAGTATAATTGCTAGGTACATCAAATGCTAATGGAGTCTCGTCCATATTTCCAATAAGCGAAAAAGGATAATTGTAAAGCATACGATGATATAGTACATTACTTAAAAATTTATCCCTTAGAGGTTCTAAATCCTCTGGCAATTTTTGTGCTACAGTAGTACACCGCCGATTGCTAAATTTATTACAACGCATAAAGCCCTCTACTCACTTTTCACCCCACTTGCATTTATTGATTGTTGGATAAAGTGAAACAAAACATGACTGACTTGCAAGTTGTTTAGCTTTTGTTCTAATCATTTGTCTAGACACAATTTTTTGTTGTGAACATAAAGATTTAACCCAATTTTTAATATCAACTTCTAAAAGCGGATACTTAGAATGCGCACCAATATTTAACCATTTTATATAAGGTGGAATATTTTTTAATTCAATTTTTTTTTTAATCCACTCACGTAATTGTTTTGGTGTTATATTAAATTGTGTTGCGACACTTCGTTTACTAACCATGAGATTTTTTTCAAAGTATGTAACAATCGCTAATTTCTCACGTACATTCCAGCTTCTTTTTTTTTTTTTAGTGACTTTTGATTGCTTTTCTTTTGTCTTATTTTGTCTCATATTATTACTAAAAATATAAAAATTAAAAATATTATATAATATAATTATGCGCAAATAAAATTTTCATTACCTTATCGCTAAAAAAACTTGATTTATTCAAGACGTAACAGGATTAAAAAAAACACGAAAATCTTTTTAAATTATACGTAGAAAATAAAGTTTGCACATGTTAATTATATTAAT